CCGGGTGCCGGTGCTGGTGCTGGTGCTGTGAGCTGGCTGTGCACGTGCTGAGTACCGGTGCTGGGTGCTGGTGCCGGCGCCGTGAGCTGGCGTGCCGGTGCTCGGTACTGGTGCCCGCATGTGACAGTGAAGTGAAAGCAACCGCCGCTTCTTGACAGTGAAGGGTGGCAACCTGCCGCTTGTAGCAGTGAAGGGCGACCAACAGCCGAAGTGCCAGCAGTCATGGGCCGCATGAACTTATGCACGCAACATCATACGGTGTGTCGCTTGAGGGTCTTCGTATACTAGCGCTGTGGGGTATTTACACTCTTCAGGTATTGTTTTGGCCGACAGCTGTGTCAACCGCTGTACTGTTTGCGCGCGTACTTTTGTACGTATAATGTTCTATGCGCAACGTCAGGCTCTCAACCGATCATTGTTTCAGCGTGCTTCAGCATGCTACACACACAATAGTCGTGCTGGGTACTGCTTGGCCTTGGCCTTGGCCTTGGCATAAACTTATACGCGCAAGATCATACGGCCTTATCGTTCTTCAGACCGTTGCTTCAGGAATGCTACAAAGTCAATATCGTGGTGCTGGATACTGCTTGGCCTTGGGCCTGTTTGCGTGCATACTTTTTGTGCGCATAAACTTACGCGCGCAAGATCATACGTTGTTATTCCCAAGTAGGGATAGCTATGGGGTTCTTACTGCAAATAAGAGTGAGCCGCGCGCGCTTTCGAAAGGGTGTCGGCGCTGGTGCTGGTGTTGCGGTCCTGGGTGCTGGTGCTGTGAGCTGGCTGAGCGCGCGCGTTTAAGACGGGCGGCGGCGCTGGTCGGGCCGCTGCCGGTGTTGTCAGCTGGCAAAGCGCGCCGGTGCTGGTGTCAGCTGGTTGTGCGCGCTGTGGAGGTGCCGTAAGCTGGCTGTGCAGGCCAGCCAGTCGCGTGTCAACAGGTCGTGGGATTCTGCCTAGCTATCTGGGTCTATGCTGGTGTAATTTTTTAGGGTAGAAATAGTTTCTGGTATAGCTATCTAGATCCCAAGGAGCTGTAAAAGGGAATTCAAAAGCAAATGTAAAGGGATACTTATGAGGACAGTTTAGTAAAAAACATGAGATTTAGAAGAACCGTGAAAAGGACAACAACCTTTTTGAAGGACAGTTAACATAAATATTAGAGGAACTAACCATTAACCAAAATCACATGAAAACTACAAAAGACTAAACCCCATCCAAAAAATATAACACTGAAACAATAACTAAAACTAATTGAAAACCAGGTAGAACTAGTTGGAAACTCTTTAAAACTACAGAAGACTAACGCCTTAAAACACCATCCCACTAAAAACAAAAATATTCCGCTAAAAATCCGCAACCAAACTTAAGCTAGTAGGTTCGTAGGTTTGAGGCCATCGCTCTTAGGTTGGAGGCCATTGCGATTGATTCAACTTTCCATTCTTTCAGATATCCTTTTGCCACACCAAAGTTGCAATTTTGGCAAGCAACACTTCTTGTCCTTGGCACAGCAAGCTCTGAGCAAGAGCTTTGTCATCGTCGTCAACTCCCTAGACGCTGCCATGAGCTTCTCCAACGGGTGCGCTCTGCCTAGATGCTCCAAAGGTTTCACAGAGCACAAACTTGCGATCTTTGAAGCACTTCAGGGGTGACACTGAACGCAGCCAGGTATGGCCCAGAACACCTTGTGGTTCAAACGGCAGACCCCGAGGCAGGGCTCGATTGAGTCAAGTACAGCAGGATTCAATTTTCACCTGAATCACTACTGCGAGCCGCCACGAGCGACATGAGTGCCGCCACAACTGGGACAATTTCAGTGTGGTGAGATTGTTTATGCTAATGGCAAAGAGTTCTCATGCCTAGTCAAAGAATCCAAAATAATCGAAATATCAGCTGAAACAGAGCTTGGAAAGACCGTCTTCACCTACATGAGTGCACGACGCGATCAGGCGTACCTAGAAAAAGTGGTCAACGCAGGCTCTGTTTTTATGGGTTTGGGGACTCAGTGAGTGATTGAACTACAGCATTTTGTCGCTTTGTCAATGTTTCAGCTATCTCTCAGTGACTCAGTAATTTTTACACGTTCAAGTACATGTGATACATTTTCTTACAAGGTTGCGCACTCCAGGGACAGTAGAGAGCAGAGAATCTACGTGAGCAAAAACTCCTGGCAGTATCTAGTGAACAGAAACAAAATACTCTCGTTTTCATTGAACAGGTTCTCTCCATCGGGAAATAAGACATTAACCGAGCAACTGCCAAGATGCCTGGGTGTTGGGAGACGATGTTACACAAATTTTCATATGAGATCCAGATCCAGCAGCCATGTTGTGCGGACTCTTACTGGGAAGCGGCGTGCTTCTGCGCGTCATAAGTTCAAGTTGAGGCGCCTTTGCGCCGGAGAGTTGTGGAGACTATGCCAGCGGCACAAACCATTGTAGGCACCTGAGGGGCATTGCAATTATATAATTTTCTGCAAGAAACTTCGCGAATTAGGAGGAGTTCACACACTTGAGCAACTTTTCAGTCTATACTGTCTATACTACTCTACAAATCTATTCTTGCAGGTCGAAGCTTTTCAGTGCTACAGCATCTAGCATCCAGCATTGCTATGAAGATGTTGCAGCCGATGTTCGCGTTTGGAAGAGAAGCTCTGAACATCCGCAACAGTGCCTAGAAGGCTGTAGTAGCTTCCCCCTCTTGTGTTCAACTCCGCTTTGTTCAGACTGAGGTTTGCCAACAAGTGGGTATGCTAGACAGTTTGGAGGTGTCTCCACAGACACGTGCGCCTCCCGCTGGGAGGTTCTTGCCGAGTTCAGCTGCTTTTTTCAGCGTAGGGTTGTGACGAGAGAGAGAGAGAGAGAGAGAGAAAGAGAGAGAGAGAAAGAGAGAGAGAGAGAGAGAAAGAGCTCCACCTTCCCTAACCTCCTCTCCTGACACTTTAAGTTGACCACAGATCTTATAGACCTTATTTGCCAACCGTCGAAGTGACCGAAGACGAAAGTAGTAAGGCTTGTAAGGAGCCAGGAGGTTGCAACATCTCCGTTCTTGCAAACAGAGTTCCCTCACAACCAGATGGATCCGCCCAAGAGAACAAGAGCACAATGCACAAGGCTTTTGATGTCATGGTCATGGTTTCCTCAAGCGGCGTGTCCTTCAATCAAAGTCCCGTTAAAAAGGCTTACTTAGAGTTGCAGAACAAGCTAGCGCTCAACATGAAATATATGATGGGGATTGATGGGGTACCCCAAGATGCAGGCCTTTCCGGTTCATCCCTTGCCCTCCCAAAGACCAACATGTCAACAGCCTGTGGAGGTATTTGAAGTATGTCACTGTACAAAAGCTCACACCTGCCGGATTGAAGAGAGTAGGACCCCATGTCGAGGCTGGGACTGGGCAAACTTGGCAGAATATGAGGATGCAACAGCATGTTCATTTGTACGTGTAAAGCACACATCTAAACTTAAGCACTTTCACTTCAGTCAGTCCCTTTGAGTTCAGACCCGCTTTCTGCTTTGATTCTTGTTGACCACGTGCAGGTCATAGCAGACGTTGAAGAGCTCGAAGCGCACAGGTGGCTTGAAAGCAATAACACCCCAAAATAAAACACTACAAATGAACACACCTTTTCTTGAGGGTCAGTCCTTGAGGGAGAGAAGGGTAGAAGGAGACGAGGCGAGGAAAAAAACCGGTTAGCCAATCGAAAGGATCTTATTCTGTTCGGCTCCAGTTTCAAGGGTCAGTTGTTCCGGGTTTCTCAGAATGCACCTGCTGAGTTCAATGTGTCAGTGGTGTTTGAGACAAACAAACAGTTTGACAACCCAATTCTGCTGCTAAATATTGCTGATACTGCTGCAGGGCTTTCGTAGCATTATTGGCACATATTCTTTTGCATCTTTATCCGAACATTTCTCCTGTCTCAAAGACATCATTCCCCTCCCTCTAGTCATTGCATGTAAGGTCTGTATATTTATCAAGAGAAGCGCTGATTCTCGCTCCAACCTTCGCTTCTTTGCTTCAGTCGTTCTGGAGGAATGCAGTAACTATTCGGCTGGCGAAGATTGGCAGAGCTCCGACCTCGGTTCTTGAGCACTGGACATACCTGAACCATGAGAGTAGATTTTTTTGGGTGGATTGGACGCCGAGTTTTGAAACAGAATGATAAACAACAAAACATAGATATGAATAGCATCGAGGATGGACTGACCTTGTAGCCTTACTTCTTGCGAAATCCTCCACTCAACTTGTTTAGCATGGAGACTGTGGAAGCTGTTGAAAATACCGATCCTGCTGATGATGAACTGCTGCGACTCCACCGGCTTTGACGAAGTCACGTGCCGTGTGGCTCGAACGTCATGTGCCAGGAACTCTCCTGGCTGGACAAGCTTGCAGCTCTTTGTCGCTTTTGCTAAGAGCCAGCAGAAACGAAGGTACAAAAAGACACCAACGTTGGACCGAACGTGTGCTACGCAGCTTTGAAAGGCAAGGGTGTTCGTTTTTGCGCCTTCGTTTTGATTTTCGGAGGTTCACCCGTGGAGCGGAGACAACCCCCTGTGCATAGCCAGCTTCAAAGCACCAAGTTGACGGCAATCTAAGGGATGCACTTGATCACACGATTGAATTCCTTTGTTGGACTGTCCGTGGTCCTGTTTTCCATAACAACTGTTTACATCTTGCATTTGCTCGAGCTGAGCTCGCGTCTCCGCAAGTAGCGACTCAATGAGTTGATTCTCTTGAACAGTGGCGAAGAGGGAGATCGAGAGCTGGATCGGGAAGAGTTTCATCGAGTCCTTGGGACCTCACTTAGTCAGAGGAAAGCCAGCAAATTCTTGGACATGGTCCGCGTATGCACATGGTCTTTGTAATTTTATTGGACGGCCAATGGAATTGGAGCTTTATTTGATCCTCCCTGTTGAGCTTGGGTCTCCCTTCCTCCTCATGCCATCCGAAGAAAAAAACGCAGCAGTGAGAAAAGGTCCGCCAGCACTTGGCGCTACTAGGAACAAAGGGCATCGCTACTAGGAGCAAGAACGCTACTAGGTATGGCCGCCATGGTCCCATCTTTCGACAGTGGCTCCATCAATCCAGATCGCACATGACACAAATGGACGCATGACACAGGGTCCTGATTTCTCCTTCAGAAGTGCACTGGAATATTGGTTCTGGGATGTTCTGGGTGGGAAGAGAAAGAGCGTCCGAAAGAAGGCAGCACTGCAAATGAAAGCAGTTTGTGTTTTTACATTTACAATTTGCACATAATATTAGCACAGAAGCCGAGTTTTGCTGGAGTTTTGCTGGGCAATTGTTCCTCCGAGAAAGTGCTTGCCAAAAGGTCAATTGGTGGGAATCTTGGTTTTTCAAATCCAGCTGTTGAGAGAAATGAAGAGAACGCAACAGAGAGGCAAAGGAAGGACTGGAAAACAACCATGAAATCAAAGGAAAGACGAAGCATGAGATTGGCAGAAACAAGGGCATCATTCGGTCACCGAGTCTGGGCAATAATTTTTGTGGGCAAGTTCCTGGTGGGTCAGAGACATGAGTATTCTTACCTGTCAACATCAGTAACAAGGGCATCGCTACTACTAGTAATTAACAAGGGCATCGCTATTAGTAGCTAGAAGCTACTAATCACGAAAGCTAGCCTTAGCTAGCTGGAGTTGCTCTTGCTTTAGCAAGTTAAGTGACGGGGTGGACGCACCTCAGAAACCTCAAATGATTGATTAAATCAATCTTATGGACCCCCCCCCCCCGCGGTTCGACTCCCCCCTGCGCGCGGTGAGCGGGACCACCAAGCAGCTGCAGCACACCAAGCATCTGCAGCGCCCAGCGCAGCAGCGGCAGCAGCGGCAGCAGCAGCAGCACCAGCAGCAGCAGCAGACCACCCAGCGGCGGCAGCAGCAGCGGCAGCAGCATACCCAACGCCGCGGCAGCAGCAGCCGCAGCAGACCACCCAGCGCCAGCAGCAGCAGCAGCAGACGACCCGGCGCCTGCAGAGCAGCAGCAGCACCAGCAGCAGCAGCACCAGCAGCAGACCACCGGAAGCCCGGCTAGCTTTCGTTCACCCCCTCTGGCCTCAAGTGACAAGGTAATAGTGTCAACATGGACGAAAAGCTGCGTCTTGGTGATGCCGCTTCCCCTCAAAGCTCGGGCGCCACGGGCGGCGTTGCGTTTGGGGGCATTTGTTGGGATTCTTTCGCCACACCATGGAGACGGCTTTTGTGGCGCCGTCGTGTCCTTAGAACAGCATCGATTATTGTGTTGCAAACACAGTGACAACAGCAGTAGGGTATGCACATATTAATGCACAGACACGTGAACACGTGCCGGGAGTTGCATCAGTCACAGATGCGAGCAATTGCAACAGGCACAAAAGCACGATGTGACACAGAAACAAGGAAGTATATAGGCAAGACGACAAGGTGGGTTTGCGACTATGGAACCGTAAACGTATGTAAACGCTGTAGCCGTAGACTGGATCACAGCACACTCATACCTATTAGGACGCTATTAGGTGGAGGCCATCGCAAGTAGGTTGGAGGCCATCGCTACTAGTGGCAAGAAGATAGTAACAAGAAGGGAAGCCAATGAAGAGACATTTGTGCGCGGATCGTCAGATCCGGAGTCGATTGCTAGGAGCAAGGACGCTACTAGTATATAGCTCCTGGCATTACTACTAGGCACAAGAAGCTACTAGTAACAAGGGCATCGCTACTAGGAGCAAGAAGCTACTAGCTTCTTTAAACAGGAGCGGGAAGTTGGACCTCAGACTGAAGCGGGCATGTTCTGCCGGACATGAGATTCGTTAAAACGGACACTTCTTCCCGAGAGCATCTGAGTGAAATGTTCTTCTAGAGAAAGCAGGTGCACTGCATATCATCACGACTTACATCCGCACATATCCAGACATGCACATCTGCACATCTTCACATTTCTTCACATCTTCACATTTGCACATCTGTCTCTCTCTCTCTCGTTCTCGTTCTCGTTCTCGTTCTCTTTCTCTTTCTCTTTCTCTTTCTTGCTTTATTATGCTTTATTGTATTTATTTTTATCTTTATTCTGTCTCTCTCTCTCTCTCTCCCTAGCTTTCTTCCCTTCTCTTTCTTGGTGCTGACGAGTCACCACGAAATGCAACCCTCTTGCATGGAATGAGTGGCAAGTGTCAAAGAACTGCGGGAAACATACGATTTTGGATGTTTCGGCGACAACCCTCTCGCACTGTTTAAGGCCAGGACCAAGTTCCGAGGTCCACAACAGGAGAATGGTCATTGCGAGCCACGCAATAGGCTTAAAGGTTGCCATATTTTTTTTCACCTTTGCAGCTAGGGGTTCCGTACCAACCCAAGTGCAAAAAGCTAAGAACACACATCATAATGGCTTCAAATGGGGAACTCATGAGCTTTGGCATGATGGAGGAACCACAACGAAGTGGGCTGTGAGCGAACCGCCCCCCAATACAGGCGTAATGTATCACAATGTTGCTATAGCTTGCCCCCAATCATGCAATTTCGCGAAGGGACACCCAAGCATTCCGTTTCCCCACTGTGCAGTGCAGTGTGCAGTCGTAATGAAAGACCGCTCCATTCCGTTTTGCACCAGCGTATGTTTAGTGAATTGAAACTCTCATGTGACTCATGTTGATTGGATTTGATTGGCTCACGGCCGTGGATTTCCGACGATGGTCACAAGAACAAGCGCGGACGCTGAAGTTTCTCAGGCTAGGCGTTTTTGGCGGAACTGGTGCAGGCCTGCATCAAGGTCACAAAGATACAGAGCACACACCACTTCGTCAAGGAATTCCCTTGTATGATGCTGAGCTGGTGGCTTACTTTCAACCCGCTTGGGTCGGCTCTTCCAGGATGTTTTTCGCGCAGAATGTCCAGCGCCCACCGGCCGCCATGGCCCAGCGCATTCACCTCCAAGCCTCGAGAGGCTGCAGCGCCTCAACTTGCAACCGGTGGTGTTCAAGCCGATCATCCCACAGGCGAATGGTGACACGCTAGCGTGGGAGGCTCTGGAAAAGGGCATGAGCTGGCCTTCCTTCCTGGGACAGGTGGAAGGGCATGACTTAGGCGCAAAGCGCTCAGAAGCGTTCAACCCAACAGTCCCCGTTGCCAAAAGGCACGACGCTTCTGTCCAGCAGCTTCTCCTTTGCAGACCTCCCTTTGCTTTTGCAATTTTGTTTGTGTTGGCTTGACTTGATGAGCCCCTGTATCAAACAGCAACCTTGAATTCACATAGCAGCTGAGGTTTGAGAAGGCCACCAGCCCTCGCTGTCCAACGCCGTCTGTGAGAGTGAGCTTTCCAGAATGGGGAGGTGCGCGGCGCCAGGCATCACATATTTTGGAACTCGTGTCAGCAAAGCTCTCTAAAGGGCCTTGCAGATGACCCGTGGACAACTGCGGGAATATTACAATATTGATGTTTCCGCAGCAACCTTCTCGCGCGACATGAGTGTTAAGTGTCCAAATAGATTGGGGGCATATTACTGCGATTTGGATGTCTCTGCGGCAAAGCGTCCAACTATCAGCACTGTGCACATCCTGCCACCACGTGCGAACTGCATGGACTTCTGTTGATATGTTGATGCCTGAGACTGGTTGGTCGAACTGCTCATCTGTTGAGGCGCAAAAGCACTACAACCCTCTTTTTTCATTGCGTTTGTGTGAAGCACGGTCACGCAACGATTCAGCACTTTTCTCATTGATGCGGTCATTGATGTTGACTGATCAATCAGCAGACTGCAGCCCTAAGCTCCAATTCTCCATTTGCTGGAACTTCAATTAACGTTACCATTTTTCAGCTGAGTCAGAACAAAATACCTACCATGTCCATGCGGGAAACTCTGCAATATGATTCGGAACATGCGTAACCCTGCCCTGAAGAATTGATGTAGAGCGATGTGTGTTGGGATCCGCCGCAGTCGCGCTTGGACCGTGATCAACCTTTCCATTGTTTCCAAGTCTGGCAATTACCGGAGACCTATCGGCCATGTGTTCCAATTGCTCTCACATTCCATCCAGCTACACAATCAGATCATTGCTAGAGAGCTGCTTTATCTTGAAACATCCAGAAATCAGCCTGGGTTTAATTTGCATTTTATATCTCCATCGCTTTCCTGCGGCTTGTCCGGAAGCGGCTTTCACGGCCGTGAGCATTTCATTGGCGTGGCTCGCAGACTCTGTATGGGCCACACGTGATGTCGAACCCAGCGGTGACAAAATCCCTGACGGCTTGGATGCTGGACGGCGCCGCCCACCGCTTCCATCTTTACCTCTACAAAAAATTTTCCTTGTTCTTCACACTGTTGCTCAGACGCAGCGTTGCAAATTATTCTTTACCCAAAAGGGGGAGAAGTCGGAAGAATCGGTTGCGCGCCCATTGAACTGAACTTGCTCCAGTTGCCTCATTGGTTTATGTTTGCTGTGCCCCGAAAACCATTAACAGCTTTTTGGCACTCGCTTTCGAAGAGGACAAGCCCGTCGCGTCATGTCAGCTCAGGTTCACTAGATCGTGCTGCAACAACAGCGATGCTCTGGCAAGCTTCCTGAAGGATTATGCGAAGCAGAAGGAGAAGACCTTTGGCATTAGATAACTTGTTCTTGGCGTGCACTTTGGCTGCAAGACCATGTTCGGCAGGCTGCGTTCCCAAATTGTCTCCTAGTTCGTTTGCACCAATTGTAGACATATATATATATATATTGTTTTTCTTGAGAATTGCGGGTCCTCGAAGACAACTGTTGGGAGCGTTATCTTGAAGCTGTTTAACTTCGCCATTCTTCAACATAGCGCCCTCTGAAGTATGCCAGAAACTTGCGCTCTCCGGAGCAGCGCGCGGTATAGCAAGATAATAGGATCGAGTCGAGGTCATCATGTTCCTGAAGTTGAACTTAGTTGCTGGCGCTTATCAATGGTTTTCGGGTACATACTGAAATACACGAAGACAATGCGCGCGCTCCATCATGTCGGTGCGCTCCGGGGCGCCCACACAGGACAATGATGCCAAGACAATTAGCGCGCCCCGGAGCGCGCAGATATCGTGTGCATGGGCGGTCTGCGCGCTCCGGAGCGCGCTATAGTTGTGTGTTCGCATCATTTTCACTGCGCGCTCCTGGAGCGCGCAAGTTGTTTTCGTGCATATATTTCAGCGTATACGCACAGAGTGCGTCGACGCGATGGAATGCGAAGATGGTTTTCGTGCGTTTCAGTATATATGTATATATACGCAGCTCGGAGCGCACGTAGGAAAACACGGGCCGAAATCCTTTCAGCGTTGCACTAAAACCAAGTCAATTCTTCACTGCTCGAATCTGCTTCACAAGTGTCATTCCTGTGCTCCAGAGTGCACTGCGTCACAAGCAAGAGCTAGGAAGCGGAGCCATATTTTCTAGTTTCTCCATCGTTTAGTAGCGCCCCGGAGTGCCCGAATGAAAAAAAGGAAGACAAGTTATGCTTATCGGAAAGCGCAAAATATTAGATAATGAGTTCAATCGAAAAATAAAGAGCAACAATTCTGCTAATTGTGCGTTGCGGACCACGGAACTATGAATAGAGCGCGCTCGGGAGCACGCATTGCAGTAAGATTCTATTTTACGGAGGAACAAAGCTTGCCTACTTCGATTAATATATGCTTTTTACGGTAGACAATATGAAGTAAGAAAAGCAGTACTGTACTCCAGAACTCAGGGCCAGAAAAGTGCATGCTGTTTGTTTTGGGTGCAACTTCGTCGCTTATCATTGATTGCGCACCTATTGCTGCAGCATAACCTGTAAACCCGGTGGCGAGAATGAAAGCAAAGGCCTTGCGTGGCCCTGGCTGTACGACAGAAATAGGGTTAACAAGCAAGCTGGGGCTGTTCAAAAAGAACAACTGGGCAAAAGACCCAGCGTGGCTCAGGTAGCGTCAAACTAGCTGCCGCCAGGAACGCGGACTGGCGTGGGCAATAGGAGCATGTCTTTCGCGGGAAGAAGGTGAAGGGCGTCCGGCGCGGCAGGCGGCGCGTGGCGTTGACTGGGATGCTGACTTCGATGTCGCTCTTGAGTGGCTGGGCTGTGGCAATTCCTCGTGTCTCGACATTCTCATCGGGGCGGATGATCGGTGTGCCACGGAAATGGACATTTGAAACATTTTTGCCATGAGATCCCATGTTGTACAGCAACCGTAATGGACATCATTGAAGTGGTCAGGTGGACGCCGAGTGGTTTCCTCATGTGCTGGTGTGATTTCTTTGCTCTGCGGTCTGCGAAGTGTATACGCCATTTGATACAAACACACTCCGTCCGTTCCAAATCTTCTCATTGCGCCAAAGTGAAATCCAAGGTCCAAGGTTCAAACAAATGATTTGCCGGATTGCTCCAACTTGAAGCTCAAACACCGGGGCAGGCTGCTCTGGGATCGCAGTTCTGCTGACTCCACGGGCAGTTACGCCAAGGAGGCGCTCTGTACATTGTTTGAAACTGGACCGCGCCTCCCGACAGCTTCAGCAGACTGAGATGCTTTGCGGATGCAGTGGTGCGTTGGCGTTTGATATTTTGAGTCAAGGGCTTGTTGCCATTCCGCACGAGATGAAACAAGATGAAACAAGCATGGCATCAGGTTTAGTGTATGCTACGCAGAGTGAAGATCGTTGGTCGCAAGATACAGTGAAGTCATGAAAGGGTTGGGTACAATGTCTATGAAGAGCTGATGCTTTTTCTTTTTTCTGTGGGCGCCTGCTTGATTTCACAACGCAGCAGCACTTTTCGCCTCAAGAGTGTGGTGTGTGTGTAGAACCCTTGGAATCGTAGGGCTTCCTTTGAAGTTGTTTTCTTTTTAGCAGGAGCGCTGAGCGCTCCTTGGCAAACTCAGTGCAACGAAGCTATGCCTTGGAGTGGGAAGCACGGATTGATCATTCGTGTGTACCAGAGTTTTCTCATCTAAAACGATACGTTCAAGAAGGTGTCCTAAGAACTTTTGGAAATCACCCAAGAACAACCTTTTCCGGACACCTGTTTGAAAGCCCCTTGATTGTTTTTCTTTTGCCACCTTGATTTAGGGACGGAGGCTCAGACACGCAAGATCACCAATCCAACGACTTTAGATTCTACATAATACGCGGTTCATGGGGCGTGCTGCTCAAAAAGGCACCCTGTTGGAAGTTGTGGCGTTTCATATTGTTTTGCCCCAGCCACCCCTTTCGGATCAGAGTCCTTCCGTGTCGCAGGTCGAGCCCGAAGTTGCCATTGTCACCTTCGCTGATCCTCACAAACAAGAAGGATGGACCTCCCGGCCTATTTTTGACAGGCTGGCCAACAATTTCTTTAAAAGACAAAGCCTTCCGCGTCGGGTGGAACAGTTCTTGTATGGAACTTTGAATTCAAGAGGCGCTGCAGCGTTCACTTGCCTATTGCTAGTGCCGCCTGTGCAACTGTTTCAACATCGCCTTAGAAACGTTTTTGGGGCAGGACTTGAACCCAAACATTTTCCTGCAAAAGTGCTTACAAACGGACTACCGGACATCTTTGCTTCCCTCCTGCTGTGAACATCCTTTTCATCTCATTTTTTCTCACCATCTCTTTCACATTCTTTCTCACCATCTTACAACCCTTTTTTCTGCTTCATCGTAGTACAAAAATACCTTGCTCTACACCCAAACGCTCTCGGGCCATCCGTCGTCTAGTTGTTCTCAAATGGAAGCACTCACACTCACGCCGAACTCAAAATCCAAGCCAGGACAGTCAGAACGGCGTTGCACTTCTGAGGTCTACAGGCACGAGCTCGTCATCAAGCAGGCCACCCCTTCCGAACGACTCCGGTGCCGTGATTTTGGACTTTCAGAAGAGCGACGAACACAGATTCATCAGCTTGGGTATGCCAATTTGAGCCATCATTCCAACAACTCATAGGTCAAGTGGTCAAGTCAAATTAACACACCGACTTGTACGGAGTCTAAGACATTGGTGGTTCATTCTCCAAACGTGGCCGAGAAGATCTCACCCATCTAAAGCCAGGCTCTTGGGGCGCGGGGTGAAGACGCCTTGGCGGCCAGAAACGCAGGAGCCTGATAGGGATGTCCTTCTTTCTGGCCGAGAAGGATTAAATGCGGTTGCTGTGGTTCATGTCATGCACACTCCGTTCCATCACACACTAGCAGATACTGTACTCTACGTGTCCAAGTTCTCCTTTGTGTACTGTCCCCAGCAAGAAAACCATTACATGTATATTGCTGCATGAAGCACCAGAAAGCTCGAACCATCGCCATAAATGCTGCCCACTCTTGACACCCCTACTCATCTCAAGCTGTCAATTGACATCTCAGAGGTGTCAGTGCAACCTTACTGGCCTGCCCCTGTCCTTGTGGAGGTTTGTTCCTGAGGGTTTGTTTCTCACAATGCGCCACAATGTGTTGGTGCTAATGAAAGTACTTGCAACTCAGCAAATCCAAGCAACTCGGCAACTTCAGGAAGTCAAGAAGTGGTGGATACGACCAATCTTAAAAGACCAGTGGCCAGTGTTCCATGAACTTCTAGTCTGTTTCTTTTTGTTGGTTCTTTCCGTATCGAGGGAGGCATCGGGATCAGATCGCGGAGCCGAGTGCCCGAGTCGAGTTGAAGCGACTTCAGTCGCTCTCCAGAAATTGTTGGAACGATTTCACGAAATTGGGTGGGGGGGCAGAACTGCCAGACTCTTCACCAGGAGCCAAGACAATGGGCTCCCTGGATCGGACCAGGTTGGGAGCGCATCGGAGCGGCGCTGTTGTAGGCGACGTTGTGATTGAATCGGGTGTATGTTTTTGGAAAACACACATACATGTGGGTTGCTCCAGCAGACGGTTTTGAAGAGGTGCCGTTGGTTCTATTTTGCATGTCAGGAGTGTGCCTTTCAGCTGCCTTGTCGCGTCGGCACCAGCGCCGAGCCACGGCACAGGCACTTCACTTGACATGATTCGCCCAAGCAGCGCTTCTCATGGGACTTGCAACAACTTTGAGTAGAACGATTGTATAACTTTGAATGGTGGATACACTTTAGGCTTCACCTGCAGTTTTCTAAAGTGGGAAGCAAGCTGCCGGCAAGGCTGAGACAAGCAAACCCATAAGTGACTTGGCGGTGAGCACAGTCAGGCTAGCCTTCAAGGAGGAACATAATGTCACCAATAAAGGAGAAGGATCCACAAGTCCAGAATGAAGGAAAAGAGACACAGAGAAGGCATGCACTATAAGTTGAGCCACTGGAAAGGGTGTAAGAATGGCTAGGGGTCCAATCCCCACTTTGGAAACTATCCTGCACTTGCGAGAACTCACTGCCAATAATGTGTTTTTGGTGAAAGTGCAATCATGGGTTGGCTATGAATTGTGGGTTCAATAGATTTTTGGCATTTGGGGTCTTCTGGGAGTTAGTCCAGCAAGAGATTGCTTGATCAAGGATTCACATCTATATATACATTGAAACATATTAATTAGGATCATGGACCCCTTTTTGATCCACTTGCTATGCCGGAAGCATTGTCCTGCCACAAGACCGCTAAAAAGAGGCGGAAAGGGCTTCCGTCTGAATAGGTTGTGGTTTTGATCGATATCTTTTTGACAGGTTTTGATTGTAAGATGTTGTAAGCCTGGTTAACTGCTTGTTTGGGTTTTGGACCGACGTTTGGGCCGAGGCTTGAAGAGACTGCCCTGCTGGGGAGTTGCGGTCTTGGGCTTCATTCTGGTCCGGGCACTAGATGTCGGCGCAAGAGATCCTCAAGATTTTCCTTGTTGTTCCATGCTTGACATGGAGGAAAAGCTAATTGGACAGATTCGTTACCGGAACAGTCTCTGCAATTAGGGCCAAGGTTTCTCGCTTCTCATCCAGAGACAACTCGAGACAAGCAGTGCCTGAGGTAATGATCCACCGAGTGGTCTTGAAAGAGTGCAGGCATCGAGTGAGTCCTGGGATGCTTGGGAGACTCACTCGAGTTGCTAGGTACATGCTTTTGGTTGGCATACTTTATGTACTTGTGGATACTTTCAGGATGTTTTTCGTCTTTTCCGCACCAATAGTATAGCACCTCCTCTCCGATGCACTCCCTGATACATTGGGGCGCTCGCTGGCGTGGACATGGCGAACCTCCCTGTCTCTGTACACATCGCGTTTCAAGCCAATGAATGAAACAACACTATGGAAGAGCATGACCACAAGTCACGCAATTGTGGTTTGTATAAGATGCCTGTGCATGGGCATGTCACGCTCTCATGCAAAACCAGCCCCTTCAAGGCTACCAGTGAGCACCATTACCAAGAGAACAGACTGGCAAATCGTGACGTATCATCATGAATGACGAATGAGTATGTATGTTTGTCTATTTTTCTTCGGTAAAGTAGGCAAGGAGTTGTATCAGTGACCGAAACCGAAACACATGAGAACGATAAAATGTACAAGTTCTTTCTGTGCAGCAGCAGCTACAGCCACATGCGTGGACACCTGACTCAAGCCCAAGAAGCAGCTCCACACCCCAAAAACGCTGGTGGCATTTTCTTGATTTGATCACAAAAAACACTACAAAAAGACCCATATGTGTACTCACCTCTCAAATACCAACCGAAGATTCAATATGATGAGACTAGTTTGTTCACAAACAAGCCATCGCGTCTACTGGTCCAACTTGCAAGCCTTGATGCTAGAGAAAGGTAATTTAGGACTCTCTTGCCAACAACGTTGCCTCTCAAGCCGCACCAACCCCCAAAACAGCCGCAATCTCAATGTAATTTCATCTATTTATTCAGCGAATCATCGTGAACCCAACCCAGGCGCACGACCCAATCAAACAAGAGACTGCAGAGTGTTTTGCTGAGTCTATTCCAACTCAAACAATAAGCTTCGGGCGCCTTCACACGAAGGAAGCTTATTCCTTCCCCCCAAAGCCGGTTGAACATATCGAAAGCAACATTGCACAATCTAACAACATTCCGTAAGCGTCTTGGATGCAATCTGGACAACGACCACAGCACGAGGATCGACCAGAGGATGAAGGCAAAAAGTGTGAAGGAGTCCCAAACTGTCACAACGGGCCAAAGTAACATTGTTATTAACGACCTTGTTCGCACAAGCAAAGGCTCTAAGTTTGACAATTCATTAGCTTGAAAGCATATGGCAAATACACATGTATGTCTTAGTGCTGCCGACAGCAGTTGGCAGCATTGGCAAGCCCCTCTTGAACAACATTTAGAAAGCAGATGGTAGACAAACAATCCTATGCACAAGGCTTTGTTCATGTTTGGGATGTTCACCACAAAAGCCGGGATTTCCCAAGTATTGTGCTGACTACTCAAGCACAATTTTTGACCTCCCACTGCTCTTCAATGCGCCACCAGGGCGTTAGTTCATACACACGCATGTAGTATGATCATATATGATCCATGAGCCTTCAAACAGGTCGGCAGAGAAATACATGCAGTCTTGCCGACCAGTCGGAGTCTTTGCCAAGCTGGAGCTTCTGCCACCGCTTCGGCAGGCTCCAGTTGCCACCGCCCCGCTTTACCGTCTTTTTGCATGCATCGATCTTTCTGATCCTCAGCCTCCCGGCAGAAGCGTCGTTTCGACCTGTTCTTTTTGGCCAGTCTATGAGGTTCACGACTTGTTTGACAGATCTTCCATCGCAGAGACTTGCCAATAGCTAGTTTCTTCCGCATGGCGGAACTAGGCGGAACTATATAACTTTGTACAATAAGGAGTCTTGAAGTCTTGCTTGTAAGGATGATGGCATGGCTGGCGCTGGTTAGTTCTTCACATCATTGTTCATTTGTACCATTTTGGTCCCTGGTCCTCATGGGGTCCTGAATCAGGTTTCCTTTCAGGTCTTTGGGGGGAATTGCTCCCAGGTCAATTTCTCCCACCAACGAAGTTTCCATCTGAGCAGAATGTAAAAGTCATTCTGCTTGTGGCTCGGAAGCTCAGAGCAACTTTGACACACTCTGCAAACATTCAGCAGATGGAAGAGACGTCAGGAGGGGGTCACTTCGACAGAGCTGAATTTGGGGCAGAGGAAACTCGAGAAACTTCTAGTAGTGCCAGTACCTTGCTTTTTTGGACACTCCTTTGGGCATCGAGCTTTTTTCGATTGCCGAACTCAGGGTGCCTTGGAGTTCTTTGGCTGGGCTGCGCTACAAAATGTGGTGGCAGTGGCCGCTTGGTGGCAGTGGCTGCGTGGTAGGCCCGTGCAGCGTGGTGAATCTTTGAAGCTGGAGGAAGCACGTTTGAACCAATAGGTTTCAGGGGTGACACGAAGCATTTGGTCAAGCTTAAATGAACGTAACTTCTCATTCTTTTTTCAGGCTGGTCACCTTGGCAGGGGTGCTCAGTCATGACACTGCGGATGCGCTTGTTTGGGGATTTTCAGGGTACATGCTACGCATGCTACGTGGCAGATTTAGCATGTTTTAAGAATTACTATATTACTATTATATAAATGAAAAAGGCACAGATGTTCAACAAAGCGATTCAGTATGCGTGTGCGTGTATTAACATTTCTTAACGAAGACATAGTTCAGCAGAGTTCTGCTCCAAGGTGTGTCAGCAGCGCTGCTCTCTGGCGTCTCCTTGGTGCGGGTGTTTTATCAGTTAGCTTCTTGTTACTAGTAGTAAGGCACCTGTTCCTAGTAGCGTGGCACCTGTTACTACTAGTAAGGCACCTGTTACTACTTGCGGTTTTGTTTGTTTTTTTGCTCGATTTCCTTGTGCAAAACAAACAACGAACGATTTCGATGTCTCAGCACGGGACGTCGATTCGATCGCTCCGATCGCTCCGCTCAGCTGGTGACGTTGGCAAGCGCCAAGCTGCTGCTGCGGAGCCACGTGAAAGCAACTGCTTGGATCGGTGCTGCGCGCCTCGGTGGAAGAGGTGGAGTCTCCCATCCAAACAACATAATTGTAATATACACATATAATCACAATGTATATATGTATATATGTAATATTATATATGTATATGTATACAAAGTTACTTGGTTTAGAACCTGTAAAGCAAAGAGCACAAGCGACAGATCATAGGACATGATCGAAGCAGACTTTGACAATCAATGCCATATCAAGCCGGCTTATCAACACGTTTTCTTGGAACCCAAGAATGGTCATATATCTCATGACTGTGAGCGAATACCAACCTTTGTTACACAAAAGAATAAGAACAAAAAATGCCTTTGGAGGCCATTGCCATCAGTGCCAGGAGGCCATCGCTAGTAGGTTGAAGGCCATCGCTCTTAGCTTGGAGGCCACTCGCTACGAAAAAAACCCGCACATCGGGTCACGCTGAGGATCGTTGCGCTCGGCGTTGGAGCCGCGGGGCCCGTGCACGCTTTGCTGAAGCCCGAGAATCGACGAACAACGAAAAAAGCGAGACATCGGAGACGTACTCAAAGGAATCCCATCTCCAACCACTCAGGATTTCAAGGGATTTCAGTTCCCATGATGCAGTGGGAAACGAAAAAGGTATTCAATCTGCCCTTCCTTACCTCTCACAGGCACTTAAGTTCCTCAACATGCTCTACAAAGTCAGCTGAATCTCCCCCTACCGGGACCCAGAAATCATATGGGCTCTGGGCGTTTGATTGCATTGCAAGTGCGCGAGATGCCCCTGCCTCATACAATGTAGAGGCCATCGCTACTAGACTGGAGGCTATCGCTACTAGGGTGGATACAGTTTGTTGAGTATCATGTCCGATCAC